TGTGTGTGTGTGTGTGTGTGTGTGTGTGTGTGTGTGTGTGTGTGTGTTTGGGTCTAGGCATATGTGAGTAATGTTTCCAGGCCCTGGGGTGGAGCAACCTGCCTGTGTTCAGCAAGTGCTCTATAACCATTGCTTCCTGAATTGTTGTGCCTATATACATGGCCAATACTCATTTCCAAATAAAGTTTCTCAGAATATTTTCCAGACTTAAATAATCCAATTATGAAACTTTATAGTGTACTATTAAGGACAAAAAGCTCTACATAAAATATTAGTCCATTTCTATAATTGTTTCTAAAAAGAAAATAATTCAAGGTATAGTTTTACTAATGTTCAATGAGGTTTCTGATATGTGATGTTTAGCAGTCAGATCTGTCTGCATATCTAACTTGCAATCGTTGTGGGGAAAGAAACTGTAAGTTTGGGAGTGTGTAGCAGATACCATAGTGTGTGAGGTGAGGCTAGTGGGTTCAGGCTAACGTTATAACAATAGAGTAAGAACAGAGTTTCTTTGTAAATATTCTCAAAACTTCCTCAAAATATATTCATTTTTAAAATTTTCTTTCAGTTTTACATTTTAAGTGACAAATACTAAGAAGTCAATGTGTACTGTTGGAGGAGATTTTGATAATTTTTATAACTTTGTGCCTAAAGTTATCTTATTGCATATTTCATGTTTATTGGATAATTAAAGGGAGTTTAAAAAGTAAGAAAAAAGCACATATAAAGTGCATAAATTATACTACAAATTATTTATAGTTTAATATAAATGTATTCCATATAAACTTGATATTGAAATTTCTCCATAAATCTGTTTGGGAATTATGGATTTAATTAGTATGTATACTGTTGCATATGTTTGTCATCTCTGATCATCTAATATCCTTTGCTTTTTCAAGGGTGTTTCCATGCATTACTTGAGAGGAGATGTCTCTGGGTATTTTATATTTTTACGATATAATTCATTAAATTTATTAAAGTAAAAATTACTCTGTTTTAAATGCTGACTGAAAATACATATATTATACTATATTCCTATGTTGTCTTGAATATTAAAGTAAATTGGCTGTTCCATGATTTCATAGTATATTGAAAACCTACCTTCCTCGGATTCATTACTTATAAATAAAAAATTACTAATAATTTTTCAAAATTTTTATATATGAAAACATGCATGACTTCCAATTAAATGTTTTATGTGAATTAAATTTAGAATGCTGAGGTACTTTTTTGGTATAGCATAACCCACTCTAAGACATATTTTTAAGACAGGTTCTAAATTGGCTTGGCTGCTCTGGAACTCATTGTGCAAAATAGGCTAACCTTTACCTCATAGAGATCAATTTACCTCTGCCTCATGAATGCTGGAATTAAAGGTGTACACCACCACACCTGGATCATATAAAATCACTTTTATAATTAGATCATCAGAAATATTCAGGGAAAGTTTTTATCATTTTTATTCTCATTGATTTGTTGATTAATTTATCATTGCAGATCAAAAAAATCAACAGAAATTTCCCTGTAAACCAGCAGGTAAGATCAAGTAATACTTGAAACATTAACTCATACTTCTTTTTCAATGTGTCTTTTATAGAAGATAATCTTGGTGCCATCTGATTCTTATATAAAAATAATTAGTACTATAAGCCATCTTCAAGGAAAATTAATTCATGACATTAATTTAATATATCTGCTTCATTGAATACATTCAAAGTAGGTTTTAAAGGTATGTAATACAGGACAAAAACCATTTTTGTAAAAATATTTATATTGATTTGTGTACAATTCTGAAGAACTAGATCTAGTAGTTCTATAGGATAACTTTAGTATACCTTAGGTCAAAAATTATTTAATGCATTTTGCCTGTATATGTTCTGGTGCATATAGTACATTTAGAGACAAGAAGTGGACGTCAAGGCCCTAGAACAGGATTTTAAGATCTGTATTAGTGCCATATGGTTGCTGGGAACTGAATTCTGCTCCTTTGGAAGAGCAACTGCTCTAACTTCTCTCCTGTCTAGTATATCTTAATTTTTAAAGACATCCTTTAATTTGATCTCAGTACCTAATACATTGACAGACTTCCAGACAAGTTTAAATTAATGAATAGAATGAAAATAGTATCAGATTAATCCAAAAGGACAATAAACTCATTGTTCTTAATATCAACTTCAATTTATAGCCATCCTTCACATTCTAAGCATGCATCACTCTTTATAGGTTAAAAGGTTTTAACTATATTTTATTTGCAAAATTTGCAGTCAGTTTTCTGATATGCAACACTTTTATAAAAAGATAATTAGTTTTTAAGTTTATTTTGAATATTAAGTATTAAATCTATATCTTTAATAAATACCGTTATTATCATGAGAATTGCTAATTTTTTTATTCTTTAAGAATTAAAAAAAAATTTTTTTCTTTTGTTTTTTTCGAGACAGGGTTTCTCTGCGTAGTTTTGCACCTTTCCTAGAGCTCACTTGGTAGCCCAGGCTGGCCTCGAGCTCACAGCGATCCGCCTGGCTCTGCCTCCCGAGTGCTGGGATTAAAGGCGTGCACCACCACCGCCCGGCTTAAAATTTTTTTTTACATATCAACCACAGATCACCCTCTTATCCTACCTCCCCATCCTCCCTAGCCTTCCCCACAACCTGCACCCCATCCCCTCCAAAAGGGTAAAGCCTCCCATGGCAAATACTGCTACATTCAGTTAAGCAGGACCAAGCCCCCACCCCACACCCTCACATCAAGAGTCCCACCATAGGTAATGGGCTCCAAAAAGCCAGCTCATGCACCAGTGATAGATCCTGATCCCACTTCCAGGGGCCTCTCAAACAGACCAAGCTACTCAACTGTCTTCCACTTGCAGAGGGCCTAGTCCAGTCGCATTCAGTCTCCACAGCTATATGTCTAAAGTTCGTGAGTGCCCATGAGCTTGGTTAAGTTGTCTCTGTAGATTTCCTCATCATGATCTTGACCACCCTTGTTCATAAAATCCCTCCTCCCTCTCTTCAACTGGATTCCCAGAGCTTGGCCTAGTATTTAGCTGTGGATCTTTGCATCTGATTCTATCAGTTTCCATGAAGGCTCTAGGATGACAATTAGGGTCTTCTGCAACCTGATTACCCAGGTAGGACAGGTCAGGCACCCTCTCCACTATTGCTAGTAGTCTAAGCTGGGGTCATCCTTGTGGATTACTGGGAATTTACCTAGCACCAGATTTCTCCCTAACCCCATAATGTTTCTCTCTATCAAGATATCTCTTTCACTGCTCTCCCACTTCATCTCTTCCCCCAGTTCGAGTATTCTGTTCCCCCATGTTCTCATCCCCCATCCTCTCCCCTATGTTGCCCCTCCTCATCCTTCATTTACTCCAGAGATCTCATCTATTTCCCCTTCCCAGCATGATCCATGTGTCCCTCTTTAGGTCCCCCTTGTTAGCTAGTTTTTATAGAGCTGTGGGTTATGGTCTTGTTATCTTTTGCTTTACATCTAGTATCCACTTATGAGTGAGTATATAATTATGTTTATCTTTCTGAATCTGGGTTACCTCACTCAGGATGATATTTTCTAGTTCCATTCTTTTTCCTGCAAGTTTCATGATGTCATTGTACATCTAAGTAATACTCCATTGTACACATGTGCCACATTTTCTTTATCCATTCTTTGGTTGAAGGACATCTAGGTTATTTCCAGGTTCTGTCTATTATGAGTGATGCTGCTATGAACATAGTTGAGAAAGTGTCCTTGTGGTATTATTAAGTATCCCTTGTGTGTATGCCCAAGAGTGGTATATTGGAGAAAATTATAAAGGCCACTCCACGTAGTTAAAAGGAAGATTTATTTAGTGGATGACTTACAAATGAAGGAATGGATAGGTGGCAGGGGTCTGGGGAAGCTGTATCGCAATCCAGCGGTGTTCTCTGGAGCTCTGCACAGTCAATCTCCACTGTCCAGGGTCCAGGCACAGAGAGAGCGCCCAGAGAGAGCGCTCGCCCATCCAGCTCTCGGGTTTCCAGCACCTCCCCTCACCCCGCCTCGTAGGCGTGACAGTTGCCAGAGTCTCAATGGGGGTTGGAACTTCCAGATCCAAGCTGGAATGGCTACCCACTACAGTGGTATCATTGGGTCTTGAGGTAGATTGATTCCTAATTTTCTGAGAAGTTGCCATAGTGATTTCCAAAGTGGCTGTGCAAGTTTGCACTCCCACCAACAGTGAAGGAGTGTTGCCCTTGCTCCACATCCTCTCCAACATCAGTTGTCATTAGTATGTTTTTGATCTTAGCCATTCTGACAGGTATAAGATGGTAACTCATTGTTGTTTTGATTTGCATTTTCCTGATGACTAAGGATGTTGTGCAATATAATTGCTAAATTCTTAAACATAACTTCTAGCCGGGCGGTGGTGGCGCACGCCTTTAATCCCAGCACTCGGGAGGCAGAGCCAGGCGGATCTCTGTGAGTTCGAGGCCAGCCTGGGCTACCAAGTGAGCTCCAGGAAAGGCGCAAAGCTACACAGAGAAACCCTGTCTCGAAAAACCAAAAAAAAAAAAAAAAGAAAAAAAAAAAAACATAACTTGTTCTATGAACAACAGAATTTTTTTTTTTTTAGTATAGACTATGCTATTAGTGATGGTTCTGGCCAAGACTAGCTCATTAGCTGTTTGTAAAGACAATAGTATGAAATAGCTCATGTTTTGGAATATTCTGTGTGTCCACAAAGATCTGACACACATCATACACTCTTGCTAACACTAAAAGGACAAAGAACTAAGGACAACTGGGGAATCCTAAGAAAGGGAGAATTGTTCTTTCCCAGAAAGAGCCCCTTCAAGTGCTATCCAATACAAAGTGATCAGTCCTGAGATCATATACATAATACATACAGGTAACATTATAGCAACTGAGAAGACTATAGGTCTGCATTTAGAAAGATATATATATGCATGTATGTGTGTATATACGTGTATATATATATCCATATATGTATATGTGTATAGATAATAATAAAAAGAATATGAATTTGAGAAAGTTCAAGTGCATACATGGGAAGAGTTTGAGAGAAAAAAGAAAGGGGAAGCATAATTACATTATAATTTCAAAAATTAAGTATATATATGAATATATGAAAATAAATGAAGTACCTGAGAATCATGGCACAGGCTTTTAATCCCAACATTGGGGAAATGTATATTGGTAGTTCTCTGGGACTCATTGTCCTATAAGCTTGTTTTATGATATGAGCCTCAAACCAATGGATACCTTGCTTCAAAATCTAGACAAGTGGCTTTACTAGAAGAACACCTAAGGTTGAATGGTGTCATTTACATGCAGCTGCACACATGCTCATATATAAAAGCACTTATAGGATAAGCAACAAAACTGTTTGATGCTATATACATACTATTCTAATATGCATTCATCAACGGTAGCCATACATGTGAATTAGTGTGTGTACTGATTCATTTTCCTGTAGTCATGTGTCCAGATAGGGTATAGAAAGAGATTTACTTAGCTCATAGTTTTAAGACAAGGCATCCCATTGACTCAGCCTATGTGGAGGGTATGCTTCTTTACATGATATGGTGATAGATGACGTCACTTCAGGAACAGGATTATGAGTGAGAAATAGATCAGCCTTGCTTTTCTATAATAGTTCTGTCAGAAGAACTAATTAGTACCCAAGGAGCACTACATCGATTGATTGCCTTTAAGGAAGTGGTCTCCAATGACTTAATTACTTTCCATAGGTTCCAAATCTCAAAGAATTCTCTGACCTCTCAATAAGCTTTTTGCATTAAGACTGGGGGGACATACGTGTACTAATTTAATTCAAGGTAGAATTCACATGGTTTTTCTAGTATTTGATATTACTGATAATAATACTGATGTTTTATTTCAAACCTCAGCATCTCAAAACTTTATTCTCAAAGAAGATATTCTAGTCTATTTTCCAAGATTGTAAAACAAACAAACAAACAAAAAACAAATGAGAGCTAACAGTTTTTCTCCTTATTACACTTCATTGTATGAAGGAATGATTTCAGAAAAAAAAAAAACCCACTGGTTTGTTCTCCCACCTTTATCATTATGTAGATAGGAATGCTACCTCTAAATTTTGACAATGGGGAAGTAAAACTTGGTACCCACTCCAAAGGATTTGTGGTTTCATTCTCAGGCAAATGTGAGCAGCTATGACAAAAACATGGACTGAGAGTCCGTGAATGCTTTGTAATGTCATAAATCAATTCACTTGCCAAATACATTACTGAACATTTGGAATGCAGGTTACAGAAAAGCCAGGAAGTCTCTGGTACAAATCTCAGACAATATTGATGACTTTCTTAGCTTCTGACTTGATGGAAACTCCTGGTTTTATTAATTAATTAAATTCACAGGTTTAACCTGATAGTCATAAGCTATATTAGATATAGGTCTGAGTAACAAATGTCTAGGAAGAAAATTAAAAATAGTTGGAGATAATTTGACGGTGAATGAACAATATTCCAACTCTCTACAGTCATGACAGTCTAATA